ACCTCCAGAATGAGCTTTATTGAAAAAAGTAGATGCCTAAGAAATTGCTTATAAAATAAAGAGCTTATTGGGCGACATCAAATGCCTAACAGGGCAATTCCAGAAAAGAGATCTACTGACAAGGATAAATGACTAGCAGCATGCCTTTAAAGTAGAGCTCTTAAACACATTGGCATCAATATACAAGATAATGATGCATGTGCCCACACGTTAAGCTGGACTGAGGGCCTACTGATGATGGAGAAATTGGGACAAGATGAAAAGATAATTGAGTCCAAGCCCAACTCAACTTGCAAGAGTTCTAATTTGAATAGGAATCTAGCTCTTTGCTCACTAGCTTATGGCTTGGCAGAGTCTTACCTCCTCACGATTTGACTAATTCAAGTCTAGCTGAGACTCCTACACTAGATGGAAATCCCTCACCTACTACGGCACTTGTACCACCCATATTCAAATTATGGATAAGAATTTTTCAATGGCCTAATCCACTAGCCTATAAAAGGGAAGATAGGAGATAATCCAAGTAAGGCATATTGAACTTCTAATTTCATACTCTTCCTCATAAATACCTTTTCTAACGTGACTTATCAATAGGCCTTTGGTTCAATAGTACTCCTTATCTTGTAAATACTTTGCCTTCTTAAGGTCAAGGGATCAAGTTTCCCTCCCCCTTTCCCCTCCTCCCAAAAAAAAAAGAAAAGTGACCTCCATGTCGGCTGCGGAATTACTATGTCATAAATGGGGAATTAAGTGGACACATTGTCACNGCATTTCCAGTGTTCAACTAATATAAAACATATGAAATCCCTAAACTAAAGGGTATCTTTATTTTCTTGTCATTAGTACGCTTACCTGCATATTTCATTTAGTTAAACTAGTTGTTAATTTAAGCTCACATCACAAGTTATCACATGTACACCAATTTAAACAATAACTTTACAATTTTTTTTATTATTTTATTTTAAAATTTAATTACTAAAACTCTCTGTGGGATCGATACTTGGATTTAAACCGAGAAAACTATGATTCGACCACTTATACTTGGGTGTATAATATAATATAAATTAGATCACAAAAAAGTGCGNGTTCCACTTAATACTTTGTTTGTTTTGTTTTTATGGCCTGATTATAATGAGGTAGTTGAATACCGAGCCCAAGTGAATAGTTGCTCATATTCCATCTTTGTGGTGCTATTTAATACAACAAAAAAAAAATTCTTTTGTACATAATTTAGTGACTTTATTTTGTAACATGATAGATCATAACCATTGAATTGATAGTGNAACAAAAGGCATTTATCCTAGCTTAGATTGAGTTAAGAAAGCTCCACCAAAATCTTCTCCAGCTCACCCGAAAGGTCCATAAGCTAGGCCAAAAGTTCCATGAGCTCGACCAAAGGTTTTGCGACGTTGCCAAAAGTTCCATAAGCTCGGCCTAAAGTTCCGTTAGCTCAACAACTTAAATAGGGATGACCAAGTCACCAAATGCGTCTCCTCAATCATAGGGATGAGAATCAGAGGGCATCACAAAATCATGGCTCCTAGCTCCAAGATGAGAAGGAGAGACTTGGGACCTCTAATTCACTGGCACAAGACCTAGTACTGCCTAAGCTTGTTGGGGGGATTAACTAGGTTGAACCACTGAAACACAGTTGACCAGATTAGAAATCAATGAAACACTCTTCAAATTAAGGAGTATTGGGGAACATCGCTATGTTGGTAACCTGATAAGCTGAACCCCTGAACTAAAGTTGAAGCCCAATTCATGAGAGGAGAGCTAAATAGGTAGATATGGAGAGCTAAATAGGTTGATATATTCACAGCCTACCTCCAGAATGAGCTTTATTGAAAAAAGTAGATGCCTAAGAAATTGCTTATAAAATAAAGAGCTTATTGGGCGATATCAAATGCCTAACAGGGCAATTCCAGAAAAGAGATCTACTGACAAGGATAAATGACTAGCAGCATGCCTTTAAAGTAGAGCTCTTAAACACATTGGCATCAATATACAAGATAATGATGCATGTGCCCACACGTTAAGCTGGACTGAGGGCCTACTGATGATGGAGAAATTGGGACAAGATGAAAAGATAATTGAGTCCAAGCCCAACTCAACTTGCAAGAGTTCTAATTTGAATAGGAATCTAGCTCTTTGCTCACTAGCTTATGGCTTGGCAGAGTCTTACCTCCTCACGATTTGACTAATTCAAGTCTAGCTGAGACTCCTACACTAGATGGAAATCCCTCACCTACTACGGCACTTGTACCACCCATATTCAAATTATGGATAAGAATTTTTCAATGGCCTAATCCACTAGCCTATAAAAGGGAAGATAGGAGATAATCCAAGTAAGGCATATTGAACTTCTAATTTCATACTCTTCCTCATAAATACCTTTTCTAACGTGACTTATCAATAGGCCTTTGGTTCAATAGTACTCCTTATCTTGTAAATACTTTGCCTTCTTAAGGTCAATGGATCAAGTTTCCGTCCTCCTTTCCCCTCCTCCGAAAAAAAAAAAAGTGACCTCCATGTCGGCTGCGGAATTACTATGTCATAAATGGGGAATTAAGTGGACACATTGTCACAAACTAATTTTCATTGCTACGAATAAGGATCAATTATTAGATTTTATGACATAAACTAATTTTTACGATTGCATCATATGAGTGGTGATTTATAGAGATTCTATACAATTAGAAATTTGATATGCAAGATAACAAGTTGAAGTGTTTTTCATTGTTTCTGTTTGGCCCCCTGATGGTTAAGTTCTAGCTCTGTCCCTGGTTTCGGCCATGATGGGGAGGGAGCTATGGAAACCTCAAAGTTTAGGAGCACCCTGAAAAATGGGTCTTATTTATCCTTCCAAATGACATATATAAGTTGATATTTTTGATCGATTATTTTAATCTAAACTCGAATCTGGATCCATTATATTATGTTTCATGAGTTTGTTTTTGGATATAACAATATCCAATCCAATTAAGATCCAAAGTAAACTATGTTTACAAAAATAAAAATGTATGATGAAATTAATTGACTATTTGATTAAATCAAATTGAAATTTAGACATAATTTGTTAAGATTCATTCCACTTGGATTGGATTGGGTTAGATTTTTGTATTGAATACAAAATCTTTGAATGATTTGAATTTCAATGGTGAAAACGAAATCATCTAATAAGTGGATTAGATTCGGAACAATTTTTTTTAGTCGGGTTAGGCTTCAGACCGGATAAAGTTAGACTTGTTGAAGGGCCTAAAACCATGGGGGGTATGTTTGCTTCAAGGTTTAGGCTAGTATAAGGCTCTGGATAAGATAGAAATAGTCATGGTTCCACTTAATACTTTGTTTGTTTTGTTTTTATGGCCTGATTATAATGAGGTAGTTGAATACCGAGCCCAAGTGAATAGTTACTCATATTCCATCTTTGTGGTGCTATTTAATACAACAACAAAAAAATTCTTTTGTACATAATTTAGTGACTTTATTTTGTAACATGATAGATCATAACCATTGAATTGATAGTGAGTCTCAACTAATAATATAGTCCACTATCAATCTAATGGTAGAGAATGATATGGTCAACAAATAAAGGCACTAAATAAAGTCTATGTAGCATTGCCCGCCATACCATAATGTAAGTGGTATAAAAATCTTGTAGGTGGTACAAGCTCATTCAAAGACTAAAATTTCCTTCTCAAACCTTTGTTATATATAAATGAAAGGGCATCCTTGTAAATGGCTAAATGAAGACACCATTAATGCTCTTCTTTTGTTGGAATCCCACAAACCTACAAGTCATATAAACAAACAAGGATAAGGATAGGAAATGAAAAATAACTTATATTTTTCTACACCATGGGGGTGGAATGGATACTCCAATGCCATCTAACCTACTCCACAAAGCAACAATGCCTAGGATATTCTAGCATTGTGAATTCTTATTTTTTTAGCAATGAAGTTTGAAGTNACTTATATTTTTCTACACCATGGGGGTGGAATGGATACTCCAATGCCATCTAACCTACTCCACCAAGCAACAATGCCTAGGATATTCTAGCATTGTGAATTCTTATTTTTTTAGCAATGAAGTTTGAAGTTTCATATTATATTTGCTTCTTAGTTACCTTCAAGCTACCACTATAATCAAGACATAATGCAATATAGTTCATTGAACTCAACGATGATTTAGTGTAATGAGCCACTACCCATGGATTTAGACTTTTTTTTCCCCCAAAACACTAGCAATTTAATTGTGTATTGGTTAAGAATTCACTCATTTATAAGATTCTATTTAAATTCATGATAGATAGTCTAATATTGATAACAAATATATATTGAACAAAAATTTAGAACCATCACACCTAATCTAGAAAAGACAAATTAAAATGAAAAACATTTCCAAGAAATNTTGAACTCAACGATGATTTAGTGTAATGAGCCACTACCCATGGATTTAGACTTTTTTCCCCCCAAAACACTAGCAATTTAATTGTGTATTGGTTAAGAATTCACTCATTTATAAGATTCTATTTAAATTCATGATAGATAATCTAATATTGATAACAAATATATATTGAACAAAAATTTAAAACCATCACACCTAATCTAGAAAATACAAATTAAAATGAAAAACATTTCCAAGAAATATAAGGAAACTCAGATAATGATATAAGACACAAAGTTAAATCTACAACTATGCTCATGTATCATTAAATTTGGCGATCCTTTGTATTTGTCCACATTTTTTAGTTCCTACCAATAGTTTAACAATCTAGAGCTTTTTAAATTTGACTAATAATAATTTTGTACTCTGATGTTAGAATCACAAAATTTGGAAATCAAACTACCATATGCTAGTTGGCTAAAAAAAAATAAATAGTAACTAGGTAAACAACAAATAAGGAAAATAAATTCCATAAACTCGAAATTTCTTTTTGCCATTCATCATTCTTTATCCAACATAGACCCACCTGTATAGAGGCAGAATTACAATATTACAGATTTTTAATTTTATTGGTGACAAGCTTAATCTTATCGTCCAAAAAAGGAACCACAATTTTCATCTCCTTTGACCAGCTAAAATCATGTAGATTTTCGTTAGCCAAGCACCTAAGCAGAAGTTGTTCCATCTCGAGCCCTTGATTCTTCCTCGTTTCCTTCTTCAAATTCCCATCTAACATAATCAGATTTTTGTTCAGAAGGATTTCCTGATCCATCATGTTGCAGGTTTGTTTCCCGGTAGGCATGTTCTTAAACCTTTCAAGCACATGATATGCTTCAAGGGATGAGGGCCAAGCAACAGTCTGAGAATCTCTAGAACTGTATATGAAAGCACAGGCATCAACCCCACATAGGGTTTGAAGTTCACTTACCTTCTTTAGCAATCCAGTCTTCCTTTTCTTGAAGGTTCTCGTCCTTGCACGCTCATTAGCAATGAATTCATATTGAACCTTCTTTCTGACCATGGTTAGGGTTCAAAAAAGGAGAGTGAAACCCCATAGATATATTGATGGATTTATAAAAGCATCATGGCCTATATATAGAAGTAATGGTCACAACGCCATAAGACAAATTACTTTAAAAGATGTCATTGCCATAATCTTATGTTGGCTAAATTACACTTTGGTCCTGGCAAACATATCTTGATCTCACTTTGTCCCTTGAATAATTAAATTTCCTACATTATCCCCTCAACTACCTACATTAATTTTATATTACCCAACACATGAATGTCTGCTGTCTTTTGAACAAAAAATATTGATGTGTCGTGAAAAACTAGACAAAACCATATAGTTCGAATGCAAAATAAGACATCATACCATACCATCCAATTATTAAAGGAGGTTAATCATTGATGAAGTTGAAAACTAATAACCATAGTTGAAGGAGTAATGTCAGAAACACGATAGTTAAGGGGATAATGTGAGACGAAGCATGTAATTAAGAGGGTCAAAGTATAATTTACTCCTAGATTTTACTTGCAAAACATTCAAGCAATAGTTACGGGGTTCATAAGCCAATTATCCGTTGAAGCATCTTTAGGTGACAAAATAAATGTGGTTCTTGAGAGGAGATTACCAGATCTAATATGGACNATTTACTCCTAGATTTTACTTGCAAAACATTCAAGCAATAGTTACGGGGTTCATAAGTCAATTATCCGTTGAAGCATCTTTAGGTGACAGAATAAATGTGGTTCTTGAGAGGAGATTACCAGATCTAATATGGATAAAATTGTATCACCTTATTAGGAAAGTGAAAATTGTGACTTAAATGAGAGAAGATTTGATTTTCCATCTTAAGAACAAAATGCATTTTATTTAGAATACTTCCTTTCATACCATTATTTCAAATGAGTGAAGTACAAATTAAAAAAATAACTGAAGGGGTTCAGAATCTCTGTGCCATAATGTGATAGAAAGACTAGGACACGTGATAGAGTCACATGCTAAAATTGAGGGTTTCGACCATGACTGAGCAAGAGGAGCTTAAGCAAAGTCTATCGCAAATCCAAACATATATTTTCTCTAGCTGAGCAATTTGAATGTAAGCCCGAGCATAAAGTAACTCATCTAAAGTGGTTTGCTTTGTGGAAAGCATTTCCGAACAAGGAAATGTCGAATAGGGGAGTGTGTGCCGAGCAGAGCCTTAGGAGGTATTCTCTAAGAGAGATACTACGAGACTAGAATTTGATAAACAGTGTCACTCTTATCTTCTGGAAGAATGAACCCTATCCAAACAAGAACAAATAACTTGGCCATCCCTAGAAACCCAAAATGGTTGATAGGATGAAGACTAGACAGTGATAAAGGCTAAAGAACAAACAGAAAGGTAGCTAACTATCCTTTATAACCATAGGTGCACACTTGAAACATGTGACCTAAAGAATCAAAGAGTAAGAAAGAAAGACTGAAAAGATTCCTGCACAAATTAAGGAAGAATTGGCTAAAACAATGGGTGTGCCACCTTGTACAGCTATTGAAAAAAAACCCTATAAAAGGGTACATAATATTATAAATATTGGGTTTAACTTAAGTCTAAGGTACACACTTATTTCCTTGCAATTTTGCTTGCTTACTCTTAGAGTCTTTATTTGCTTCAACATAAGAGTGCCTCCAGCTAATCAAACNTGAAGACTAGACAGTGATAAAGGCTAAAGAACAAACAGAAAGGTAGCTAACTATCCTTTATAACCATAGGTGCACACTTGAAACATGTGACCTAAAGAATCAAAGAGTAAGTAAGAAAGACTGAAAAGATTCCTGCACAAATTAAGGAAGAATTGGCTAAAACAATGGGTGTGCCACCTTGTACAGCTATTGAAAAAAAACCCTATAAAAGGGTACATAATATTATAAATATTGGGTTTAACTTAAGTCTAAGGTACACACTTATTTCCTTGCAATTTTGCTTGCTTACTCTCAGAGTCTTTATTGGCTTCAACATAAGAGTGCCTCCAGCTAGTCAAAANTAACTTAAGTCTAAGGTACACACTTATTTCCTTGCAATTTTGCTTGCTTACTCTTAGAGTCTTTATTTGCTTCAACATAAGAGTGCCTCCAGCTAATCAAACCCCCGAACCCGAACAATTTGTTTTTTTACAAGAAAAAGGTGCACTTTGTTCATTTTCTCTCAAATAATCGAGCACACAATTTCCACATCACCATCATTATTAGGTGCGAGATTTTTCCTTCCTACAATTGGTGATCTATGGAAAATGATACAATAGATTCAGCTATATAAATCCTATGAAGCACGCCAGGATCACCATGCAACAAGAAGGAACTCAATGACTATGACCCTATAGGTAACTACCAAGTGTCTTTACCCTCAAATAGTGACATAAGGGACAATATTGCAAGAAGTTCAAATGAAGAACAAGTGAATCATGACAATGCATCGTCTGGGTGGTACAATCCTGGGGATGATGACCGCCAAGATGATGTCTCACAGACCGATGGGAAAGTTTTGGTNATGACCCTATAGGTAACTACCAAGTGTCTTTACCCTCAAATAGTGACATAAGGGACAATATTGCAAGAAGTTCAAATGAAGAACAAGTGAATCATGATAATGCATCGTCTGGGTGGTACAATCCTGGGGATGATGACCGCCAAGATGATGTCTCACAGACCGATGGGAAAGTTTTGGCNAGAGCCTTAGGAGGTATTCTCTAAGAGAGATACTACGAGACTAGAATTTGATAAACAGTGTCACTCTTATCTTCTGGAAGAATGAACCCTATCCAAACAAGAACAAATAACTTGGCCATCCCTAGAAACCCAAAATGGTTGATAGGATGAAGACTAGACAGTGATAAAGGCTAAAGAACAAACAGAAAGGTAGCTAACTATCCTTTATAACCATAGGTGCACACTTGAAACATGTGACCTAAAGAATCAAAGAGTAAGAAAGAAAGACTGAAAAGATTCCTGCACAAATTAAGGAAGAATTGGCTAAAACAATGGGTGTGCCACCTTGTACAGCTATTGAAAAAAAACCCTATAAAAGGGTACATAATATTATAAATATTGGGTTTAACTTAAGTCTAAGGTACACACTTATTTCCTTGCAATTTTGCTTGCTTACTCTTAGAGTCTTTATTTGCTTCAACATAAGAGTGCCTCCAGCTAATCAAACCCCCGAACCCGAACAATTTGTTTTTTTACAAGAAAAAGGTGCACTTTGTTCATTTTCTCTCAAATAATCGAGCACACAATTTCCACATCACCATCATTATTAGGTGCGAGATTTTTCCTTCCTACAATTGGTGATCTATGGAAAATGATACAATAGATTCAGCTATATAAATCCTATGAAGCACGCCAGGATCACCATGCAACAAGAAGGAACTCAATGACTATGACCCTATAGGTAACTACCAAGTGTCTTTACCCTCAAATAGTGACATAAGGGACAATATTGCAAGAAGTTCAAATGAAGAACAAGTGAATCATGACAATGCATCGTCTGGGTGGTACAATCCTGGGGATGATGACCGCCAAGATGATGTCTCACAGACCGATGGGAAAGTTTTGGTTTTCATGAGGTTTGTCTAATCTTTTCAGGATTGACTAGATGCTCATGATGCTATGCTTAAGAGGTCCCAAGAGGAGGAAGAAAAGCTTAGACGGGAGAATGAGATGCTTAAGGACACCTTAAGGAAATCATAGGAACGAGAGGTCCTCAAGGAGTCCAAAGTGGGCATCGAGGCGAGTCACGTGACAGGCATAGAAGGAGAAAACATGGTTGGATGGAGGATCAAGAGGAACACTAAATGTACTTTTTATCCAAGGAACTCAACAACCATTTAAAGTGCTCGGAGTAGAAATTGGAAAAGGAGTTGCCTAAGAGAGCCATGATTAAACATGATGAAACTCTTCGGGAATCTATTTATCGTTATTGGGAAATGATGAATAAATTAAAGAGTTGTAAACTCGAAATTATAGTTTGAAGGATAACCTACTGTGCCAGTTCTTAACTAGACGCCATCCATCATAACGGTGGAATTGATGGCTTTGGTCAAGAATTATGCTAAGGGGATATGAGCTTAACACAAAGGTCTACAGGGACCAATCGAGTAGAAAGTTGAATTGGAAAGACAAGTAATCCTAACCATGCCTGATTACAAAGGGAAATGAGAATTAAGGATTCCCCTCCCACTATCATTCTTAGGAGTCAATACATTTTTTGTCCTAGACCAAAGGGAAACCATATTTTAAATGGCCTAACAAACTAAGCATGGATCTAAAGAAGAGGAACCCAAATCTTAGTTGTTCTTACCACCGAGACATTGGACATATGATAGAGATTTTTTANAACTAAGCATGGATCTAAAGAAGAGGAACCCAAATCTTAGTTGTTCTTACCACCGAGACATTGGACATATGACAGAGATTTTTTATTTCTGAAACAACATCTAGAGGAGCTTGTCCAAGTTTACCATCTTACTTAGTTCATTGAAGAAGCAAAAACAAAAGCAAAGGCGACTGGCAAGAAAGGTGGAGGCTCCAACATAGGACCCCACCAGTGAGATCGATGTGATTCGCACAACCATAGACCTGAACATACAAACCAATAAAGCCTCCTAACCCTACATTCAGAAGGCTGTACATATTTGGGAAACATAAGAGGCCGATGCCTCAACTGAGCAAGTCCATAAGAAGTCATGAACTGATCTGTTGGATGGATTGATAAGATTTCTGGACAACAACTTGACAAGGATTCATCATACTCACAACAACACCCTGAGCTTGACCTTAAGGATTTTAAACTTTGATGTGATTAAGGATCCTAATTGACTAGGAAAGATCATCAGAGGTAATGTACATAGGACGGTTTCAAAAACTCAGCTTGAAGGAGGAATACCTGAAGCCATCCTATGTTCTACTAGTAGGATTTAGTGGCAAGATTGTGTTCCCAAGAGGAAAAATCACCTTATTAGCCTATGATTTAGC